CTTCTTAGCAGGGATTGTCCAGGAAATGCCTTCTATGTGCAAGCGGATGTGAAAGGTGTGGGCAAGTGCTTGGAGATGAGTGAGCACTGCCCCCTCGTGTGTAAATCAAGAAGGGCCAGCAGATGGGGGACAAGATGGAGGGTAACAATGGAGACCAGTCCTGCAATGACAGGCCTTTACCACCAGGGGTCATGACTGGATGGGTAAAGAGCAGGAGGCAGCTGGTGGGAAACAGCATTTGGAGTGGAGTGAGTGGGTGAATGGAATGTGAGGACCCAGCCTCTCAGGCTGGGATTAGGGAGAATCACTGTCTTGGATGATGACTCCACTGCTTGCCTGTGTCTTGGTTTCTCTGCCTTTAAAGAGAACAGGAGAATGTCAGTTGCTCAAGGTCACACAGCAGAGGCTGTTAACTGCCAAGGAGTCAGTTTAGATTCAGGGTGACTCAGGTATAGCTTGTCCTGCGCCATCCTCATAATTGGTTGGGGATCATATCATTGTGATCCATAGGGTTTCTCTTGTTGTTAAGTGCTGTTGAATCGGTTCTGACCCATAGCCACCCTGTGTAGGGTTTTCAAGATGCAGCTGCCAAGCTTGAATCTCCGACCTTGTGGGCTCAAACCGACTTTGCAGTCTAGCGCATTAATCAACAGAGCGACACAAGGACTATTGATTGATTTTTTTGGAAGTAGGTCTCCAGGCCTTTCTTCCTAGTCTGTCTTGTCTGAAAACTCCCTGAAACCTGTTCAGCACTGTAGCAACATGCAAGCCTCCCCTGACAGACAGGTGCATTGGCTGGGAACCTAGCTCAGGTCTCCTGATTGGGAGAAGAGATTTCTACTGCTGAATCACCACTGTCCTCTCACAGTCAATTGTGGCAAAGTATTGTGATTTTCACCAGGCCCAGGTCATTTGGTGGGCACAGTCCTGATTTGGTTCCTGATGTAGAGACACCCTGGTTATGAACAAATCTCTGGGTAGTGCCCCAAGTAAGGCGTCTGTTCCCTAAAGAGTCTCCTCCCTGAGCCCTCTCTCTCATCTTGTTCACTCACAGTCCCTATGTTTCTGTGACTGGATTTTTCTTTGACATTTTCCTCCCAGCTTCTTTTTATAATCCTTTGCCCCCTCTGTTTGTCTCTAGGGCTTCATTTGACTGTCTCCTTGTTTCTCCCTTCTGCTCTGTCTGCTTCCTACCTCCATCCCTGCCTGCTGGGGAGTTTGCTCAGTAGGCCCCTGGAGTCCATGTTTCCTGCAGTCATCCTTAGGGACTTGTTGGTCTCTCAAGTTCTGTTTTCCAACCTGATGTCTCAGTTCCACTCCTGGGAGCCTGAGGAGAAGTTATGATTTGGTCGTGTAATTAGTGGTATGATTTGGGGAGCTGGGAAGACCCCCTGTGTCCTTAAAAACTACCCCAGAACTCCCATTCTCCTATTGTCATTCAGTATCTATAAACATTGGTTGGACCTGTGTGGGCGAAGCTCAGTCCTGCTTATGTGGAGATGAATAAGATCCAGTTTCTGCCCAGTGAGCTCACCATGGGGGAGTGGGGGTGGTGGGTGAGAGAAAACAAGTACACAAGTGATTCAGTCTAAAGCATATTGTTGTGGGTCCACCAGCAAAGGACAAAAGAATGCTTTGTACAAGACAGAACAGGTTGAAACCCAATCTGGTTGGGTTGGGGGAAGGCTCCATGAAGTAGGTGGCATTTAACTGGACTTTGAAGGATAGGCAGGACTTCAAAGGGAGTGAGTATGGGGGACACAGTCTGAGCAGAGGGAGAACATGAGCGAAGGCTTGGAGATTGGAGCAGGCACTTCTCACTGTGTTCAAGGCACAGTGAACCAGGCAGTTCGAGTGTATGGGGTGGTGGTGGTGGGGTGCTGGAGAGCAGGTGGGGGACCCTTGTCAGGAGGACTGCACTGTCAGCTCTCTGTGGTGTCTGCATACGGAGGGACCTATTAATGTTTTTAGTTAAAATGGAAGAATTACTGTGGAAAGCAATTCACGGAACCCCAGTGGTCTCAATCTCTGTGTGAGGGAGTTTTACTCCAAGTCCTATCTGAGAGCAGGTTTGGTTGGGAGGAGAAGGTATGGAAAGGGATTCAAGTGCCTTGGAGAGGAAGGGGCGCTGGAAAGGTGTGCAAGGTATAGAGGAGGGTGCCGGGGTTCCAGCCTGTCCAGCTGGTCTCCAAATTCCAGAATGACCCCCAGGAAGAGATTGCCTGGCTTCATGGTCTGGTCCCTGGTCAGTTCTCAGTTCAGGGTTCACCTTGGGGAGTGGGTCTCTGTGGCAGTGCTTGCACTCCCAGGCTGGGCTGGGCTGGGCTGGGCTGGGCTGGGGTTTCCGCCTGCTGCTCTGAGACTCCTGCTGCCCTGGCCCTGAGGGAGGAGGAGGGTGGTGCTTCTGAGTCACTGCCTGGGTATCTGGGCCTGGAACCACTGGGTGAGTCACCTAGGATGAGGCGGGACTCTGGGGTGGGGGTGGGGAAGGGGAACGAGCAACTTGACATCTGGAAGGGGAAGGTTGCTGAGCCCACAGGAAGGGCGGTGCCCACACTGAGATTCCGACTGACAAAGAGCAGTAGGCAAAGGGGGCTTGAGAGGGTGGTGGCCTGGGCAGTGTGAAGCTTGTTCTCCTGGGCAACCCTTCCCTGGGGCTGGTTTCTGAAAAGCAACAGTGTTTGCTCTTCACTGGGTGGTGAGGGCACTTGTGCAGGTGAAGTTGGGGAGGGGAAACGTAGGCTGTGGCCTCTACCTCAGGTCTGGCCTGAGTTGGGAAAACTGTCCAATCCCCTACTTATGCTCCCTGTCTCAGTCCCATCTCCAGGAAACTGAAGAAGAGGAGGCTAAAGTTTTGCTGTTTTCCTTTTAAATCCTCCTGTAGTCCTGGTGCCTTAATGCGCTGGACTGCAAAGTAGGTTTGAACTATAAGGTCGGTGGTTCAAGCTCACTAGCTGCTCCTTGGAAACCCCATTCAGGGTCACTATGGGTCAGAACTGACTTGATGGCACTTAACAATAACAAGTCTTCTTTACACTGTGCATAGGAAAGCCAGATCTCTTTTCGCTTCCCTATCTCCTTCCAGACCCCTTCCTATTCCTAAAGGAGTCTTTCAAGGTTTTTTAAAAGCACCCCAGTTAACTCATTGAGAGGCTTTCTGGTATCTGCCACTAGAAATAACTTTGTTTTCCCCATCCCCAGAAATCAGCCCTACCTTCCTGGAGGGAGACACAGCAGTTCTCCCTGATGCCATGGCTCTTTCCTCTCTCACACACTCACATACCTGTCCATTCTGCTCATTTGAACCATGAGACAACCAGGGCCCCATGGAGTTGGAGGGGTAAGTGGAGAGTCCTCTGGTTTAAGGCACACACACCCATGGCTACAGAGGCCATGCTGGCACCTGCAGCTGCAGACTCAGGAATGAGCTGTGACTCTCAGCACACCCTCAGGAGAATCAGACCTTGTGAAAAGGGGCTGCCTCCTTAACCATGGGCTGGGCCTCTACTCCATGGTGCCCCTACTCCCTGCGGTGGCTTGGGTGGGCTCTGGGCTGCCCTCGACTGGGTGGTGTTCTCTACTGGTCCTGGAAACCATGTTTTCTGGGAGGGAGGGGGCATGAATGGATTCGGTGGAATGGCAGTAGGCCAGATTTGGAAGGATCGGGTTGGAACAGGTTTAGTTTCCTTAAAATGCTAAGTTGGGGGCCAAGTGAGGTTGGCTTATAAATCCCCACCCTGGGTACCTGGCTGCTTTACCTTCCTTCCTGCTAACAGATCTGGTGAGTACATCTATCCTGTGGAGGCAGAGACAGCGCTGGGCCCATCCTGCAGCCTGGTTCACAGTGGGGGGAGAGTGGGAAGGGCAGTTAGGGCACCTGGCTTCCTTGGTGGAAAGTAAGATTCAGGGGTCTTATTCCAGGACCCTCTGTATGTCTCTTGGTCTGAGGGTTCCTCTGTGGCTCTCTCAATTCAGGTATTTCAGCCTGGGGGCCCTTCTTTGGGAGTCTAGGTCTAAAAGTGCTTGTTTGTTTGTTTGCAAAGTCCTGGATTCTAGCAGGACTAAAGAACAGGAGCCAGGGATCTCAAATGATTGGCCGCCTGGTTCTTGGTCCTGAACAGTGGCACCGCTCTGCGGGCTTTCTGCCCTCTCCTGCCTTGGTGAAGGCAGGGCTGGCTCAGAAGTTTCCCTGCCTCCGGTATTGGGATCTGCGGAACCTTCCTAAGCCAGTCTGAGCAAGCTCAGAGGCAGGGCTTTGCCAGAGATGGCCCCTAGGTCTGTCCTTGTGTTTGTCCTGATTCCAGAGTACTAGACATTTAAATTTTTTTGGTTCCAATAGTAACTGATAGCCAGGATCCTTCCTGGTGAAGAGGCCCTGTGTTTTGTTGCCTACGCAAACTTGTCCTGGCTGCCTAGAGATGGCCCCCAAGGCTCAGGGGCCTCCAGTGCTGGGTGGCGGAGCTGAGGGTGACATAATCTTTGTCCTCTGAGAGGTCCCAATCTGAGGAGAAAATGGCCCTGCCCCAAGAGAGCTTTTAGTTAGATGGGAGAGAGACACCCTCTGGCATCCTCCAGAGCCTTAGTCTAAGTAGGAAAAGGCCTCTACAGCAAACCTTATGCTTTTAGGCTAGAGCAGTGGCCGCTGCCAGACAGCTCAGGGAGCCCCCACCTACTAGCAGATGCCCAGGGACCGCAAAACCTGATGCACAACCCACTCTCCTGTGGGAGGGGAGTCAAATGGAGTCATCTTACCATTTTCCTTCTTACAGCGACTCAGAGGTGGCCCCAAGTGAGATCAGGGAGGACATGACGCCCTGCCCTTGGTAAGCCTCTGACAGTGTGAGGTGGAGATGTGGTCCCTGACCTCAAAGATCCAATCTGAGGGGAAACAGCTCTGTCTCTCTACTCAGAAAGAAGTTTGGAGTCCAAGGGAGGGAGTGGGTCCTACAGGTTGGTTGGGAGCCCCAAGAGCCTAACACCTCTGTTGCTCCAGATCTAAGATGGCCACTCTCCTGGAGCAAGCACTGGGTGTGATAGTCACCACCTTCCATCAGTACTCATCCAAGGAAGGCAACAAGTTCAAGCTGAGTAAGGGGGAGATGAAGGAACTTCTGCGCAAAGAGCTGCCCTCCTTTGTGGGGGTGAGTGGGGCACCCTCCTCGGTGGGGAGGGACTCTGATGTCTTGGGTATATCTCCTTTCCTCCTTCCCTCTGTACCCACACGCTGATATAGACACCATGGCGAGGACAGCGCCTATGCCCCACCAACTTCTGTTTCATGGCTCCATGAGTGGGTGTGGAGGCCCATGTATTAATGCCTCTGTGGAGGAGACCCATGTATTAATGACTCTGTGAATGGCTGTTCTCTGTGGCTTTCTAGAGAATACACACACTGACAGGGTCCTCACAGTCTGTTTTATCCCCACATCTTAGAGCTGAGTCAAGAGAGGTAAAATGTCTGGCCAAAGACAGCATAGCTTCCTCTCTCTTTCCATATGTACCAAGCTGGAGAAAAATCCAGCTAAGAATTGGACTGTGAACCACAAGGTCAGCAGTTCGAAACTACCAGCTGTTCCACGGGAGAAAGATGAGGCTTTCTGCTCCCGTAAAGATTTACAGCCTTGGAAACCCTGTATAGGGTCGCTATGAGTCAGAACTGACTCCAAGGCACATAACAACAACAACAAAGTTGAGCTATGGTCATCAAGCCATTGAAACTATGGATACT